TAGTAGACTCCCAAAATGAATCCAAAAGGTGCCCTCAAACTGTGAATTAAAATGCTTGTTAATTTATAATTATTTTTAGTAATACAATATGCATGACAACAACAACAATAATACTACATTTGAAGTATATTAATAATTAGTTCAAATCATTTTACACAATCAGCAAGTCAAACTTTTGTGATAATCAGCCTGTATCTATTGTTATCCTCTCTATCTTGTTTTAAAAAGAGTGATCTTGATTATCTTTGTTTGCTATTTAGGATTCTGTAAAATTGCTATTTTCTTTTAGAATTTTGATTAACAAGCAGTGAAATAAGTGATAGTTTTATTTGGTGGAGACTCCGAATACCCGCAGGGACCTATTATTCCCCGCGGGAATGGGGACGGAGGTAATTTTTGACCTTCCACCAAAAATCTTCGCGAGGATCCCCGTACCCGCCATTGATGGGGATGGGGATGGGGATGGAAAGGAAGTCCCCGCCCCCATGGGGACCGTTGCCATCCTTAAAGTTAGTCAATATTTATTTTTTAAAAAAATTGAATTTATTATCAATGTGCATTTCCCTGGTCAATAAGCAATATAACCATCATTGGACCACACGAGAATTGCCGGTTTTGTTTGAATTTGAAATGGAAAAATCTGTCGCCAAAGTCATATTTAAAATATTATTGGCTATAAACACTAGATACAAAATGTCAGAGTCATTTGAAGACGAGTTTTTTATTTTTTTTCTTTCCTTCAAGGCAAGTGGTTCGGAGGAAAAAAGAAGTGAGAAGGAATATCAAACTCTTATCATGATAAAAAAAAAAAAATTTATATTAAATTATTACACCACTAAACGAAACTTCTTATTTGAAGATGAGTTATATCTGTTTTGTTTTGATATAAAAGGCATTCATCGGGATCTGTACATAAATAATAATACTCTCATGAAAACAACTTCTTTTTAAATCCTTTTATTTTTTTTGTTTTCTTCCGTAATTTTTCTGCACTTTATTTTTCAAGTTTTAGGATATTGATTAAGTGGTTAAAGTTCATTTTTAGTATGTATTATATTCGGAGAATAATATTTCCTACAGAAAAATAAAAACTATTATTTTTAAGAAAAATTCTTGAAACTGTTTTATCCACAAGAATTACATTTATAACTTTTGCATACAATATTTAAATCTGTTTAATTTGTCTAATTTTATTAATTTATAATTATTAAGGTGTTTAAAAATATTATTTTATAAATTAATTTTAAATTATTAAATAATAAATATTAATTATTTTATCTATTATTAATTATTAATTATAATTAAAAATTATTTTTAATAATCAAATTAAATATATTTTCAATGTTTTTTTCTTTTTTGGTAGAAATATTTTCAATGTTTTTACTTGACCTTAAAACTTTCTGGGTCGCGATAACCAACAAAATTAAATATGTAGTTTAGACGCGAGGCACTTTGCTCTCAGACAGTTTCAGTTATCTGATTTTGTTGATAAAATAATTTTTAAGCACATATTTAGGAACTAATCCCTACAAGTCTATTTTTAACGATTTCTTAGTATATATTTCTAAAGTATAGATTAAAAAATATAATAATTAATATATTTTTAAATATTAATTAATACTCTTGAACATGACAAAAGTTAACATTAATTTTATTAAT